TTTGCACGTGGAAAGTGCAAAGCACATACCATACCCGGATACCTCTATCGCCAATCGGTTCAAAGCGTTTTGGACTGCCTGTGCGTTGTCACCCAGCAAGGCGATGTAATCGCAATATTCTAAGTCAAGGACTCTGTTCCCTGGGAGGAGTTCGACTCCTTCGTTTGCTAGGCTGGACAAAGCATTCTGTAGAACAGGAAAGGGAATGGGGATATAGGGCAGCCTTGTAGAACTCCACTGGAGACGGCGAAGAGTGGCGAGAGTTGGCTATAGGCCCTAACCCGACCTGAGGTATGACGATATAACTCTTTGAAGATCGGCACATGCTTCTCAGATACTACATTCCTCACCAAACAGTTCCATAGTGCGGTCCTGTCGACAGAGTCGAAGGCCGCGCGGATGTCTTAGAACACAATGATCGTCGGTCTTTGATAAGCATGATGGTGCTCTAGCAGCTGTCAGAGGATGAAGATTTGATCTATGCATCCACGACGGGCACGAAACCCAGCCTGCTCATCACGGGTCTTCTCACGCGTAGTGTATAATCGGCGGTGAATGACAGACGCCAACAGCTTTGACGCTATTGGGATAAGGCTTATACCCCTATGATTGGCGCAGTTATTGCGTGGGCCCTTTTTGAAGATGGAGGCAACAGTCGATTCCCCCCCCCCCCCAGGAGGAGGGGACTTGCTCAGTGTTCCACATTCTAGAGAACAGAACTTGTAGTTCTCTAACAAGCTTTATTCCACCATCTAGAGAGAGAGAGAGAGAGAGAGAGAAGGCCATCGGAACCCGGCGCTTTGTGACGCCCCAAGGCTTAGATCTTGGATTTCCGCCTCAGAAGGTGGGTCTGTTGAAACAGACCATGGGACATGTGCCGGAATAACTGTGTGAAAAGCTGACGTTGGTGGCCAGTTAAACTGTGCTTTGAAGTGCTCTGCCCAGCGTGCAAGGCGTCGTTGTTGATTATGAATGGGCGAACCGTCAGCTTCGCAGATCGTTCCGCTCACACCCAAGGCTTTCCTACCGTGATTCGGATAAGATGGAACAGCTTACAGGAATTACCCATGGCGGCAGCACGTTCCATCTCTGATGCGCGTTGAGATCACCAAATCTCGTGGTCTCTTTGTAGGCTTGCATTAAGTTCACGTCTCGTTAAGAGTCGTGTTTCATTATGCTCGCTGCCGGTAGGAATTGGCAGACATGCGTCAAGAAGACGTAGAGACTCCGTAGAGATCCAGGATGTCACGGCGCGACGTGTCAGACCACAACTAACTAAGCAAGCAGAATGCAGAGCATTCTTGATAAGCAACCAGTGCTGGTTAACATTATCGGGTGGGGTTGGTTCTAGCTTTTCAGCTAGCGCGTTTTGCAAGACAGACAAGCTGGTTTGGACGACTTATCACAGTCTAACTGTCGTTGTGTCGTGCGATTGGAACGCCCACCGGAGCACATGGACAGCTTGGCGTGTACTAATGCGTGTTCGGATTCGAGGGGAGTGCTCCAGTACGATCGGCACTCTTGAATGCAGCCCCACCATTTGTGGCTTATCGCGATGTGGTCGATCCATGTCCGTCGCTGACTCGAGAAGGGGGACGCCAGGTGGCGTACCGGCAGTTGGAGCGTCTGAAGTTCGTACTGGCGAGGAACAGGCGGTGGTCGGAACACAAAACCAACAGCCGCTTCCCGTTTTCCGAGCGACAGGAATCTAGTCCAAAAGGACTTCCCAGGTGCGCCTCACTCGAAGTCAACCGGCCTACTCTAGCATTCATATCCCCTGCTAAAATCACGATGTCAGCCCGGGTCGCTTTACGCAAGAGGTCGTGAAGATTGTGGTAAAATTCATCTTTGACTGCGTCTGGGCTGGCCGAAACGACAAGCGAGTTTCGTGTATCATGGCGACGGCTACTTATCTTGCACGAACCTCTGAGTCTCACTGCATACAACCTACTGTCGACTGGGATCCAGTCCAGGAGGGCGGCTTCAGCTCTCTCACTGAGAGCCACACCGACGCCAGCGAGACCGGAAGCCGCAGCCTCAGGGTCCCCAGGGAGGCGTAAGTGAAACTTCATTGATGGGTTTGACGGGACGTCAATCGAACAATGGAGCTGGAGTCTTGAATGCGAGTATCTTGGATAAAACACACCGATAGCTAGGGTTTCGAGCGTTCGAGCTAAACCGGCCTGTTGTCCTGTACTCATCAGAGTACGCACAATAAACGTGGCTGGTTTGATGACGAGATTCAAGTCGATTTAAGGCTCTGGTGAGGCCTATTGACAAAAAGCACGAACGCACTGAAACAACAGAGGTGACCCAGACAAGTTGGGCACTGTTCTGGACAATGGGCACCGAGACGTGAACAACTTTATCATGGGTTGGAAGCTTTCGCAGTGCTGTTTGTCCTATCAATCCATATGTGACAGAATAAAGTGCAACACCAATTTTTCTTTCGCGGTTCACACGTCTCGCTGTCTAGAGCAATTTCTTTCTTTTATCACACTAACGTGTGATGAACATAAGAAAGGGGGAACTCGTAGTCACAATGGCCTATTTTATTATAGGCAATGACTCCTCACAGGTAAGAGAATCATTTGGCATTTGGTTCAACTTTGCAAATTCTCAAGTCATCCATAGAAACAATTATATTTTTGCATTACAATACCACCGTGTGGTAGATAGAAAAGGTACTGGTTCCCGGAATAACGACGATCCACGGAAGTCCTGATGGTGAGCAACGCAAAGTCCCATTGGGTTAGTTATGATATCAAGCTGACCAATAGTGAAAGTGGGTACCATGAAATCAAGGAAATTTGCTCCGTTTTTCGAACATACGGGAGACACTTGACAGCTGTTTCGACCTGATAAAGTTTATTAGCAGTACGAATCTATCGATCCAAATGGAGATCCAACCCCGGAACATCAAACAGAATGTAAACATACAACTCGACCACCGGGCAACTGATCAGACCGTTTGCAATTGGTTCATTTATTCCATCAGACTGATGTGATGCTGCCAGGATAGTAATACCCAAATGTCCACTGTCTCACATTGATTCCCTATGCCTTCATACTAATAAAACACATATTCGATCGTACTCATACTAAAATCATCTTTCTGTTATTTTAAAAAATAAAAATCAGCAAACTATATAAAACAACTCGCCAAAGATTATGCTGCTGCCACTCGAGATACCGGCAAATCTATCCGTGACAATCCATTGCGTTCCGTGGCCTGGGGATCTGCGATCACGACCGTCTCTCTCGTGTACGCTTTCTGCCCCACCGAAGAACAGTATCACTCAGCCTTGGTCGATTCCGGTCTCGATCTGTGGGAAGTCCCCATGTTGTTGCGCAATCCGCGAAGCGTTGACCACGTCCTGGATCGCTTCGATGTCTGGTCCCGTGGTCGTCTACGCGTCAGTGAAATGGGTCTGTTCGCTGTGGTGTGGCGCGATGATAGCACTCAGGAATGCATGCTCTATTCCGAATCGTGCCCTTACGTCTTTCCATCAAATGGTGGAGGTCAGTTCACGAGCCTCGTTCGCCTGTTCTTGTTTGATCGACCGAATGAAACTGGCTTGGCTCGATTGTCTAATATCATTTCTGATCGGATTCTCGACATTGGATTTCTTGGACGCTGGTGGTTCATGCACCAAAGTATGCAAGACTATGACATCAATCCCAATGAATGGTCTGACACTCAATCTGCATTACTTTCATCAACCTCGTGATCGTCACAGTCTTGTGCGGCGCGCTGCAGACGATCCTGTCGATCCAGTGAACCCATCCGTTCCCGGGGAGAAAATCATATCCGAATCAGGCACAAAGACCCCGTGTGAAGTAAATCCTCCCAAATCACACAAGGATCCGGCCGGTTCAACGTCTGTACACAGCTCTGCAAACGACCAGGATGATGAAAATGAATGGGAGGTTATGGACGAGGAGTTGGTTTTTGTCGACTGTCGGGGTGTGATCGAACCGGACGTTTTGATTCCTCACAATCCAGTCAGCCTTGTTGACCTGGATTCCAATCATCCACTTGTACAGGTTTGTTCCGTTACTGATTTACTTTTGAAGATATCAATTGTAATCTTAATGAGATAACTGTAACTTGCCATATA